CATACTTCATTAAAAAATGAAAGAACAAGGAAAAAAAATTGTGCAAGACCCTGGGCTCCATCCCCAGCACCGAAAAATAATAGAACAAGATTGAACTTTATATATATATATCACAGACAACATAGACACACATGTATAAATATTATTATAAATGTGTATATCTATCTATCTACATATATCTATATAGATACACAGAGAGAGAGAGAAAGAAAGAGAGAGATTGAGAAGGAGAGAGGTGATCCTTACTTTGCACAGTTTCCAATTAACTGAAACCTGTGTACATCAGAGTTACACCCTTTGTAGGTCCTTTGGTAACTCTTACCCCTCTAACCTCATTTTTATGGAACTGTACCAACTGGGAACACAGTTTCAGTATGCATAAGGTTCAGTTAACACAATGCTATTTACATACACAGGTGTACACACACAAACATACATCAAGAAGGTAGAGGTCACAGAAGCAGCCTCAAAAAATTCCAAAGAATCAATTTGAAAAAGACTATAGTCTCTAATCTCACACAGGGAGAGAAACCCAGAAGATTTGAAAGAGAGTGTACATTCCCAGGCATAATCTATCAGCAACCTTCAATAATGCAATTTCAGAGAATTTTAAATTTTAATTTTTGTTATCTCTTGATAGGTAGAATTTTGAATGCATAAATGCATTCTACTTTCATTATGTTTTAAATTAATGAAAAAATTCTAGCATGGAATTAGGGTAGTATGGTGTAATAATGAATGTGATTTATTAAAAATGTGATTAATAAGAGATATTTTTGCACATTATGAACATATTATGCCTACTTTACCTATTCGATTATATTTTCCTGATTTTAATTGCATATTTATTTCATATTTAAACAGCTTTCATAAGGGCTACTTCCAGTGGAGTAAAAGGAATGGATCTTTCTAAAAACTTATATTCTTAAAAAGAGTTTTATGATGCTAGATCTTAAAATATTAAATGTAAAGAGGTAAAAATATTTGTGTAKATACTTTCTCATTAATTAATATTACATTAATATAACATTCTAATGATTAGAAATATATATTGTATCCATCACATTATGTCTTCTAAACCAATTATACTACCTTATTCCCTTAGTGTGAGTAAGAGTCAGGTATTGCTGAATCTTTAACCCTAAGTATAAACAAATGAATAATTAGGTTTTATTTGTGAACATCAAGTAGGCACTACTGGGTGAACAATTGTAAAACTATTTACTAGAGGTACTGATTTCCAACATATCTGTCCCTATGCACTTGTTTTTGACCAAATGATAAGCTTTTACACATTTACTAACCCTTAAAACATCATTCTTCAGGTCCCTAATGGTTAGGTCAGAAGCTTTTGTTGATAATGAACAACTATAACAATGTTCATATAAGGGCCAAGTCTAGGCTGAAGAAGCCTAGAAATTAGAGCTATTTGCTACAGTGCATTCAGAGAATAAAGCTACTTGACAAGACCAACCAAGAATTGTATACTGGTTGCCAGGAAATAAATGCATGTTATCTCACTGATCCTGAGAAGCAAGCTCCATTTTGGAGATAAGGAACCTATTATAATTTGGATCTGGAGTATCCCTTGAAAAGTTCATGTTCAAAAGCATGGATACCTAATGTAGCAAGGGTCAGAAGTGGGGCTTTTAGGCAATGGCAGAATCATGAGGACTTTGACCACATCTGTGGATTGATCCATTTGATGAAATAACCCATGGATAGTTGAATGAATTACTGGGAGATAGGACCTAATTGGAGAAAGCAGATCACTGGGGGCATGCCCTGGAAGGGTTATCTTTTCCCTGTCCCCTTTCTCCCTTTCTCTCTCTCTCTCTCTCTCTCTCTCTCTCTCTCTCTCTCTCTCTCTCTCTCTCTCTCTTTCTCTCAGCAGTTTTCATCTGCCACACCCTTCTGCCACAATGTTTCTGCCTTAGAGCCAGATGACCAAGGACTGAACTTCTGAAACCATTAGCCAAAATAAATCTTTCCTCCTCTCAGTTGTTCTTATCAGGTGTTTTGGTTACAGCAATGAAAAACTGACTTACAAAACCTGTGGCTTAGATTATAGTTTCTGACTGAGGTTTTACATCTGGCCAGAGGCAGAGTGTGATTCTAAACCAGAGTGACCTACCTATTACTGATATCCCAAGACCTTTCTCCATTCTATGCCATTAAGAGAGAATCATGTATTGTTCTCATTTAACTCTGTAAATGAATTCTATTTCACTTTATAATCATGGTAATGCTAATGTTACCATACCATTTCTGGGTTCCTATGGTCCTGGTTAAGGACAGTATTGGAGATTTTGTGAGAGCGTCATTGAGTAGGACCATACCTCACCCTATACATCATGATATCTTTACCCTCTTATGACAGAAGAAAATTATGTTTGTTTGGAGAGTACTAGAGGTCACAAAATGCTGAAGGCATTACTTGGCCTTACTTGGACATTTTGATGGCTCACTGATGTGGAATGGCCCATACCAGATGTTGCACCAGAATGCCAACATGCTCCCATTGTTAGTGTAAGTTCTGCTGCCAGGGAGGCAGCTGTATGGCCATAGGAGCCATTCAATTGGCAGCTCCTCATTTGGAAATGACAGATTAAATGAAATTACCATCCCTAAATTTCTGGATCTGTACCCATGACTTGAGCTTTGGCGAGGCACTGCAAATCTGGAAGATAAATTGCTAAAGACTCACAAATTATAAACTTTTAAGATTCACAGATAATTTGGATGGGAAAATCATTTTTGAAGTGTTCTGCTACTGAAAGTGTTGGCATTCTGCATTAAATAACTTCACAGTTATGTATGTGTAGCTACTATGAGAATAACAAACTGTCAGAATAAGATTCCAAGATGATGAGTTGTGGTTACTTTTGGCTCAGTCAAAATGTCATGTTAACACCAGATCTTATTCATTCACAGAGTTTCGTGATACTTGATGTGGCTGACAGCCCCTTCCTTTTCCCAGTATCCTCACAGGACAAGAGTGTCCTGTGTGGTGTGAGCTCCTAGTGGTCCTTCCTTTTCACCCTCTTCCATTTCTTTTAGAGTTTCTTCTCTGCCTCTCCCTTATCCCCTTTCTCTGACAGGGACTTTCTAGTGCTTTTTCCACACACAATCCACAAGGTAGCTTATCTACTCCCAGGCTAATCTAAAGCTGTAACATGAATCTATGATTGAGCTGCAGAACCATTCGTTTATTCGCTGTGGATGATGGAACCTCATTTGTCCCATAAACAGTAAATTCCACACTGAGCTCATTATCTTCTCCCCAAACATGATCCTTTTCCAGTTGTTCCCTAACTTGAGGAATGGTGTCAATACTCACCAGCTGTAGGAAGGTACCTTTGTAAATCGTTGATTCAAAACTCTGTGTGTGTGTGTGTGTGTGTGTGTGTATACACTCACACACAAAAACCTAATTGCTTCAGCTGTTAAACAAGTCACATTCCAAATTAAAATGAGGGTGGGTGGGAGGGGGAACTTTGAGAAAATTAAAGTTTGCAGGCCAGTCTCAAGGGGGCAACAATATTTAACCAAGCTGATTAGAGCCCCATGATATTACAAGCTGAGTCTGCCAAATTGGGGTGTTTGTGAAAGACACTAGAAAGCTGGTGAAATTTCTACATTTTTAAATGTTAATAATTAATCAAATTTAAAACAAAACCATGTAGACTAAACAAAATATGCTTGGTGGGCTGTGAGTTTACAATGTCTTTCCTAGAATGATCTGTCTGCTTTCATTTAAGAACTCATTTTTAAAAACATTAAATTCTCACTGTTTGGAAGTCCAAGTTATGTTTCTTCATCTTTACATTAATATGTTTGTTGTAAATACACTAACCAAGCTGACGGCAGAAACTTTAAGAGGACCAAATATATTTTTCTGAYAGATAAGATTCCCTTAATTTTACCATAATAATGGCCCAGGTTGTAAGTTACTCATAACAATTACTTCCTATGCTATTTGATGATGTTATATCTGGAGTTGTGCACCTGAGTATGTAAATGATGTACTATGCCAACTGAATGCAGAAGGCCTGGCCTCTATTGACCTGGTGTTGGATCTGTTGATTCTTGTGTCCCCCCCCACCCAAAAAATCTACACATTGGCTTATGTATAATCATATCAATTTCTACCACACCCGCTTTCTTTCTCATAAAAGAAAAATACATTTTTCATGTAATGTATTTTYGTAATTTCAGATTTGCAAGATTTTATTTCAAAACTAATTAATGAGAATGGTGAAACTTTTATAAAGTAGTTGCTTCAATGTCCAATTTATTTRTAAAATTTAGTTTGTCTGTACAGACTTGAGAAAATTCACATTAAAAAAAGTCTTCTCATGGACTTTCAATTTTGGAACATTGACAGTTTTGAGTATAAAACTTTACCTAAGGTAAATGAAGTCAACTTTCTCCAGCACCATAACTGTATGTACAATCCCAGCATGTCTTCTGAATACAAAGCAGTAGGAATTTTGAAGGTCATGATGAAATGATTGTGTTAGGAAGAAAAATACAATTACCTGCACTTAGATGTGTGTGCACTGGTGGGGTAATGGTGTTACTATGGTCTTATAAGAACACATGGCTTTTGATATTCATTTATTCACAACTTGAAGAGTTTCTGTAGTTTCAAGTGGCAATGATGTTTGTTTTTAACCATGACACAACCTGCTACGTCACGATTTTCTTTCATTGAATAGAGATGGCAACAGTGCCTTATCATGCGGTCTGCAGAAAAATAAGGCAATGCCCTGGTGGTCTCCAGTGTGGTAGACTCTGATGTATAACTCAGTTGTGTGTCTAAATGATATTGTAGATTTTAGAAAACATTAAAGTACCTATAAAAGCAAATTATGAATGATATCCTGTTGAACACTGAAACCACATACATAAGATCATTATTTCGGTGGCACCTTGTCAGTGGGCCTGGGTAAGTCAGTGTTTCYCTCAAGCTGGGCTGAAGGTGATCATCTACTCACCAATGAGGTACATGCCAATCCAGTCTCCAGCGTCCACTTCCTCCTTAATGTCCCAGTGGATCACCAGATCCTGTGAGTGCCCTATGGAGTAGTAGGAGCTGCTAACCATGAGTGTGGAACGGCTGTCTGAGGTGACCAGGTCAGTGTCACTGGTGGAGCGGGGGATGGTCACACCATCATGAGGTCCATTCCTGATATCCATGTTGTGGAACTGGTCAGGGTTGTAGCTGTAGCGGAGTGGCTCCTTGCACCGGCGTCGGCTCTGTGAGTTTCGTGACGGAGACGCCATGGCAGCCAGGCCTAAAAACCTGTTCTGGTACAGATTCTGTGGGGACAAAGAGACAGTGCGCAGGGTCAGAATGGGCCAGCAAGTAAGTCATTGTCTTCACAGGAAATGAAGATGCAGAGGGGGGTGGGGGGATGCGGAAATGAACCGTGAGGGAGCTGCCCTCCTGGAGATTTAAAACACAACATATAGCATCTTCCTTGTGACAAAGCCTGCAGCTCTGGGTTCACMCAGGGACAAGAACAGAGATACAAATGAACTAAGGTGCCTATATTTCCAGGCTCTGCTGGAGTCTATGCTTCACCCAGCTCCCTTTCTTTCAACTGATACTAGAAAGATTGGAATGCGTGTAGCATGACCTTGAGGATATGACTGTCCCCAAACGCAGTGTCATTACTTGAGTTCTCTCACACCAGTTCRACTGGATCCCATTTTGTCCTTTTTGAGGGTAAATGATGATTATCATTATTGATTGTGTCAGTGATCCCTGCAGCATTCAAGAATCTACACACAGCCCAGAATTAGAGGTGGTCCCTGCTGGGCCAGGTGGCCATTCCCCTCCATTTACTACTCTCTCACTCTACAGAATGTTTCTAGGCTGTCTGACATTTCTATTAAGGATTTCAGACATCCTAGTCATCTTTGAACATCACAATTTTCAAAAAAAATTCAATCTCAGAGGACTGTCTCCTTTGGAGGCAATGGTATTGTAGAAAACATTGCGATTGATGAAGGCTGCACTTTTGTTTCTTTTTAATGTTTGCAACATTGGGTACTTAAAATGAGCTGAGCCGATAAAGCACAGTAACTTAGAAAACATCTAAGGAAGGGCATCACATGGAACTTAAGGGGTTCATTTTTGAAACAAGAAAGGGTGATTCTGATTTCATCAAAGAATACTAAAACTGAGTTTTAAATGTACATTTTTGGGATTCCTGGCTATAAGAATACATGCTATTCTACAAATAATAACATTTTTTTGTTGTCAAAAAGAAAAAATTAAAGCCAAGAAGTATTGAATCATGCTATTTAGATTATAGAGACTGGAACTTATTATGTAACATCAATCAAATGGAAGTTATTGACATTTTGTTTCCCAACCGTGAGGACAAGACCCCAGAATCAGATTATACTTCAAATTATATAAAGATATTAAACAGTAATTCAGGCCTGTACTATTTCCATCTTCCAAGACCAGGGAACTTGTGAAAAGCGCATGACCTGATTAAGCACAGTGGTGGCATTATGAATCTTGGTCCTTGATGACCAACTACATGGCTTTTTTATTCATTATTTGTGTCTCTTGTTAAGAATTCCTCTGGCTTTACTGGTGATAACCAGAGAATTACTACAGGTGGAAAAACTAGCCTCAGAAAATATCTCATCACACGATCAGGTTCATATCCCCTATTTTTTTTAATGCTTGTCTTGTCACTACAACTAGCTCTCCTGTCATCAGCACAGGCAAAGCCCAGGGAAGCATGAACCAGCCAGCCACCCACCCATCTCAGGGCTATTCTGGATAATTCAGGACAGGATTCAATAAATTGACAATCCTCCAGGGGCCTCGATAAAATCTCCAAAACAAAAAGGCTGCTGCTATAGCATAAAATTTCTCCAGTTTGCACATAATCTAAGTGCACCAATAACATCTTGTATTATTTTGGAGATTGAATACTGCTTGGAATTAAATGAAATAGTAAAATATATAATTAAGAGTTAGACCAAACCATGATCACACTGGAATGGGGTAGATGACTAAATCTATCTGAACTTCAGCCTTTCATCCATAAAAAGGTCATTGTCAGAATTTAACACATCCATGCAAATCAAGTTCTTGGCACAGTAAGAATTTAATAAATAAAAATATACCAGTACCACTGGTATTATACCAAGGATTAAGAGACTGCTTTTGCTAAAAGCACTGGCTTTTGGAAATGCAGGTGCCCAGTGGTAACTAAAAGCAAGAAAAAAAATCTTGGCATCTCTGCCTTCATTTTGTATGTTTCCTTTATTACCTTAAATTTTGGATCAGATTCCTACACAAATCTGTATGTGGACATGTTAATTACTTAAGGAGTATCTGTCTAAAAACTGGTAACACAAGGGTGATAAGCCCTAAATTTACCTAATCTCTTTCATCCCTTTTTTCAAGGCTGAAGGCACTAAGATATGTTCAAGATTTTCAGGAATATCATAACCAACAGATTCTCAACTGCACACTTTCATGACATCCTGCCCTACACTCCCAGAGGTACACCTAAATGTCTCCAGTCAGTGCTCTCAACCTGACCAGAATAATGAGTCTTACAGGCAGATCAACCTGTGACAAGTTCATCTCCACTTAATGGAAACAATGACCTCATGGTGGGAGATTGGGTTGTCCCCTCAGCTGGAGCACACAGCTCATGATGGGAACCAGATTGCAATAACTACTTCTTCAGGACCTCAAAGAACCAGTCCTGAGATAATGTTCAACTGGATCATAGTTTGATCAAGACTGCTTAATTATGCATACCTCTTGTCCTCTACCCCATTTCTTCCTTTATTTAAATCTAGTGCTCATGTCAGTATCTCTCAAGACTGAGACTGATTGTCTTCCCAATATAAACTATATTGAATAAATTCCTTTTCTATTTCACTATGACCTTTTTCATTTTGATATTTGGGGCTAGTTTGTATATCTGTCAGTTTGTGTTTTGGTCAGCTTTTTCATTGCTGCAACGAAAAGAACTGGCAAAAATAATTTTAGAGGAGGAAATGTTTATTTGGTGCTCATGGTTTCAGAGGTCTCAGTCCACACATGGCCCACTTCATTCCTCAGGGCCTGAGAAAAGGCAGAACATTATGGCAGAAGAGTGTGGTGGTGGAAAGCAGCTCAAGATGCGGTACTAAGAAGCAGAGAGACTTTTCCTTTCACCAAGAACAAAATGTAAGTCCCAAAGGTAAACTCCAATGACCTGCCTTCTCCAGCCACACCCAGCCTGCTACAGATCCCACCCAGTTAATCCCTATCAGTGGATTAATACACTGACCAGGTTAAAACCCTCATAATCCAATCATTTTCCTCTAAACTTTCTTGCATTTTCTCACATATGAGCCTTTGGGGGGCACCTAATACCTAAACCATAACAACCTGATAGATTGGGATTCCCTGAAGTTACCCCCTCTCTGGCATAGGACTCCGGCAATGGTATTACTTTAGAAAGGAAGTCTAACTGATACACAGGACGTGGGAAGTCAGCCATGCTGAGCCACTGGCCAAATGTCCCTTCACATCACCACAGAGTCCTCGCACTTAAATTCATTCTGTACAGACCCTAAAGGTCACTCCTGCTCATGTCACTCTGGGGTTCCCTTACAAAATTAAAATTATAGATGTGTATGGTAAATGAGCTCTCTATGCCAACTTCCAGAGGACGCGTTCCCTTTATCTGTAACGTTTGTGATTGAGTAGGATATTTTTGCATTAGTGTTGAGGAGGCTGAAAGAATTTTTATCAACATGATTTCAATCAGGGCTTCAAAAAGATGAGAAGAGTGTTTCTTTTTTGTTAAAGACATGATTGCTGTCCACATGGTGAGAACAAAGATGTAGAGGGAAACGTTAGTGAAAGAGGATGTTTGTCAGTGATTACTGGGTTGGAATAATGGTGTTTTTCCTGGAATAAGAAAGGCAGCCTCAAATGAAGCTGTTCCTGGAAGGTCATGCTCTCTTACTGACCCTGGCAAAATATATGCTGCTACTTCAGTTTTATTAACACACGGATATAAAAACCTGGCTTTTAATATTCATTTATTCATACTTGCAAGCAGAATTTGCACTTCTTCTTCAAGGCAATGCCCTAGAACCAACTCTTTTATAGCCTCCCCTTGCATCCTGTCCTATTCCCAAGGAACAGGGCTTTCCACTTCATGATCMACAGCACTCCCATTCCCTGAAAGGCTGCTTATTGTCTTACTGCTAGTTGGTCTTTCTCTATTTATTCTTATCAAGTTTTGTCCTGCTTATATCCCCTGTGACTGGCATAACTACTGGTTTAAAAATGCCCTTCAAACTTTAAGAGATTTTATTTTACTCAATTATATCCTTTTTTTAATACTGAAAGTGGCTTGTAAAGATACTTAAAATTCAGAAAAACATGGTAATTTAGTAGTAAGTGGTAGAGAGAGAGAGAGAAAGAGAGAGAGAAGATAGGGTCAAAAAGTTATGTAGGAAGGAAGCTAACATAAAACTAGGTTCAATTATGTCCTAAATAGATGTTTTTGTTAAAGACTCACAACAGGTGCTTCTTTTTGTTTTAATTTTCTACCTTTATTGGTAATAAAATACTGTGATTTTAAGGTGCATAACATGATGATTTGATAAACATATCTTCTGTGAAATGATTTTCATGATCAAGTTAGTTAACACCTCTTTCATCCCAGTCTTTTAAATTTTGTCTTATTTTGTTTTGTGGTGAGAACATTTAAGTAAATTTCAGTAGTTGCTTTTTGAATACAGCAGGTGGATAGCATCCATGGCTAAACATGAATTCTTTTGTGTTCACAGTTTTCCCAGACATTCATGAATGTTCCCAGCACACACTGTAGACTTATGGGGCTGGAAAAAGGCTATTTAACTATTCTTCCTTCACATCTGAACCATGGGAGATAGATAAAGATCTGTTTCTACTTTTAAATAGCCTTGGATAAAGACCACTCTCTTTCTAGACAGTGATACCAGTGTTTTACAACCCTGCAATTCTTCCTAATCTTGAAGGCAAATCTCCTCTGACAGAAGACCTCCTTCCTCTTTTCTCTCTGAAAAAGGTGGCTCTCCCCATTCTCTGTATGAAGAGGAATTGATGGGTATCACTAATTGATGGGGCTCCTAGGTTTTTCTTCATCCCATAAAATAATTCAAGTGTCTCTTATCATTACTTACTTTTGGTGATAGGCAATATGATGCAGATAAAAGGATTACAAGATATCAGCAATTGTTCCTAGAACAATATAATTTTCCAATTTCATTGGTGGTAATTAAGGGTCCCTAGTTAT